ATATATATGCAAACAGAACTATATTTTTGAAGGGCCTTTAAAAATATCTATGCATAATTTGGAGGTGCAACTGTTTGCATGTGCTAGGGTGACCAGACAGCAAGTGTGAAAAATCGGGATGGGGGTGGGGGTGTAATAGGAGCCTATATAAGAAAAAGACCCCAAAATTGGGACTGTCCCTATAAAATCGGGACATCTGGTCACCCTAGCATGTGCCAAAGCCCAGTTGGTGCACACAGATTGGGGAATTATACACCCAGCTGCCCATTTGCACATTCAGATGTCCAATTTTTGCACAAGTTTGCATGCGCAAATGTGGGAATTTGCATGTGTGAATGGAGGACCCCGCATATCTGACACCCAGAGTTTTGGAGCCCCTTGGAAAATGTGGCCTGAAAAGTTCGGATGGTTCAGAGTGTAACCCCTTTGGGGTTTAGAGAGCATGGCCCCTTTAAATCTTTTTCCTAGGCGGGAGGGGGAGAGTGAGAGAAAAAAAGGAGGGAAACTCCAGGGGGTGGCTCTGGAGCTGGGAGGGAGAGAGAGAGCAGCCCGCGGGCCCGGGCCCTCGCAAAGGAAGCAGCAGAGAACCTGCTGAAGCCTGAGAAGGACAGGGCCGATCGGGGACACCCCAGGACAGGAGCCAGGAGGAGCACTGTGCCAGGGAGGAATCGCCCGAGAGGACAAGACGGATCTGGACCCAGTATCCCGGCTGTCCAGAGCTGCATGGAGCTGTGAGTACTGGGGCTTGTGTCTCTGCATTGGGAACAAGGAGGGAGGCTGTAGCTAGTTAAGTGGGGAGGGGGTTGCTCTGGGTGGCTTTGCAGAGAGCGGCAGAAGACGGCATTGGAGGGGTTTGTTGGGGGAAAGTTCATTGGCGCCGAAGACGACCAGAAGCACCCAAGACTCACCACTGGACTGGAACTTTGCTCAGGACTCCTGAACTTTGTGTGCAGACACATTGCTCAGTGTCTGCCCTTCCAGACTGTGCTACCACTGGGCCTGTGGGACCTTGGTTTGAACCCTGTTCTACTGCTCCTCCTACATTTCCCCTTGTATTTCTCCTCTCATCCCTCTGTAAATAAATATTTCCCTTTGTTATATCCATTGTACTTTTCCTGTGGGTGTGTGTGTTCACTCTGGGGGGTTTGGAACAGGTGCCCCTGGGGTGGAAGGGATTTCTCCTGCTGCATTCCTGCGCGCGCCTTCTCTTGGCCAGAGCTGCTTGCAGAGCAGACTCCATCTTGGCCACAAGGGCGCTAAAGTTACAAGAGAATAACAGAAACTAGAGACGGAAAGACCCATTGCATCATCCCATGCATCTCCCTTTGGCCAATGGGAGATGGGAGACAATGTGGCCATGGCTTCCTCCAAGCACTTACATTCCCCCAAATCTTCCCTAGTATCAACTTTGCAACTTCCTGAGCTACTCACATTTTGGGGAAATTCCCTGTCACATCTCTAGCTGCGAACCAATAAATCTGAAATGTGACGATGACATAACTGTAAAATGCATTGGCAGAAAGCGCTCTTAAGTCTTCTCCATCCCTCATTTCCATGACTGTGATGTGACTCTGATTCCATGCCACAAGCTTTTTTAAACCATATTTGAGCCTGTTTATGCATGCATTGTAAACCCAACTAGGACAGGGAGAATAGTTTAACTTAAGGAACAGTTAAATGTTTCCAAACATTTGTGGTAGCATACATGTGTGAAGTGTTAACCTCTTTCTTTGCTTACATACCATAGCAAGTAATAATATTTTACATTTATATAGCACCTTTCAGTCCTATATATCCCAAAGCTCTTTACAAACTAAGGCATCCATTGCCATGGGACCTACAATATCTATGCATCTCATTCAAAAGATCCCTACACAGGAAACCGCATGTATATTATGCACAAAAACCTATGTTAAAAAACGTTATTACATTTGCAATGTCAAGCATTCAAAAGTTACGAAATGCCAGTATTAAGATTGCCTGTGCAACCTTAATTTGGCTCCCTTGTGCATAGGCATTGATAGCGTCTTTAATTACATGATCATGTAGTGTTTTTTCCATGGCTGAAATGTTTTGGCTGACAATTTGCAGAAAAAATCAGCCTCAGTCAGACGTCTGGCATGCAAAATTTCAGCCCAAATGGTTAAAGTTTCATAAATTTAAAAACAATTGAAAATAAGATCTTCTAACAGGAAGTGTTGAGCAGCCTTAGCAGTGCTGCCAGCCCCACCTATAATGTAATACCTTAGAAGCAGAAACTGTTGAGCGCTCTGCTGAGATTTGAATCTGGGGTTGCAGGTATTTCACATCTGAGACTCAGGTGTTGTCTAAACACAAAGTTGCAGCAGCTTAACTAAAGATGTGTGTTTTAAAACTAATTTAACTAATCTGGTCCATACCCCTGTGAGGGCACTCTTAACTCAGTTTAAACCTGATTTATATCAATTTAGCTTATTTCAGTATAGAATAGACTTAAGCCAAATTGATATAAGCCAGGTTTGCATTGATTGAAGAGTGTCCGCATAGAAGTTTGCCACAGTTTAACTAAATTCTAGAGGACCAAGAAGAAGTTAGAGCAGGGGTCGGCAACGTTTGGCACACGGCTCGCCAGGGTAAGCACAGGGTATTTACCTGCGGACGCGGCAGGTTCAGCCGATCGCGGCCCCCACTGGCCGCGGTTTGCCGTCCTGGGCCAATGGGGGCGGCGAGAAGCGGCGCGGGCGAGGGATGTGCTGGCCGCGGCTTCCCAGTGCCCCCATTGGCCCGGGACGGCGAACCGTGGCCAGTGGGGGCCGCGATCGGCCGAACCTGCCGCGTCAGCAGGTAAATAAACTGGCCCGGACTGCTATTGGCCCGGGCCGGCGAACCGCGGCCAGTGGGGGCCGCGATCGGCTGAACCTGCCGCGTCAGCAGGTAAATAAACTGGCCCGGCCCGCCAGGGTGCTTACCCTGGCAAGCCGCGTGCCAAACATTGCCGACCCCTGAGTTAGAGGCTGTTTGAGGGTCCTGCCCCCACAAGGGGAGAACCAGATTGGAGTTCTGACCTGTCAGTTTACTCAGTGACTGCAGGTGTCTGACAACAGAAGCCAGCAGTTAGAAAGCTGGAGCCAGCCACTTCTAGTGAGGAGGAAATGAAGCAAAGGGGCTGTACAAGAGAGAGAATGTTCCGAAGTCCATGAACATGGTGGGTTAGCAAAGTGAGAAGCTAGAACTGTGGTGGATCTAGAACTCTGAACTCCAGTTTTGAGGGGATAAAAACAGGTGTGTGAGAAAGGTCCAATGACAGATTGTGAAAATGAATTATTTTGCAGTGGAGTCCAAAGACAGGGAAGGGTGAGTTAGTGAGTTTAAACAATTTAATAGCCCTTTTTGGGTTAAGAATAGATTAAGAGAGTGTGAGCACATCAGCCCAAGGTTGGAAGCAAAATCACTGTGGGAGATAAAAACCCAGTTTTATGAGCTAATTTGTTATCTCAATTTCAACCTGTTGTAAATGTTAAATGTAGTGTTCCCAATTAGGAGAAAGAAAGATAGATCCGGGGACTAGAGGAGCAGAACTTGGGACAGGTCCCAAGATAGAGCTGGAAAAATCTCAGGAGATAGGAGAGCAGATAATGGTAAGAGTGCAAGAAAACCGTGGGCCCTTTTGTGGGCAGTCTCAACAGAGAAGCCCAGGACTGAAAGGGCCATGAGACAAAGCTGAGGGTATGTCTACACTGGAGCTGAAAGATGTAATTTCCAGCTCAGGGAGACATACTTGTACCAGCTCTGATCGAGCTTGTGCACTAAAAATAGAAGTGTAGCCGAGGCAGGATGGGCTATCCACCCCGACTGTGATCCCTTCTGAAACCTTAGGTAGATACTCAGGAAAGCTAGTCTCTCCGGCTGCTCGCGAAGTCTCAGCGATGCTGCTCTTTTTAACACATTATCTCTATCAGAGTTAGCATGGATCTGTCTCCTCAAGATGGAAATTACACCTTCCAGCTGGAGTAGATGTACCCACTGAAGGATTTCAATGTGTTACGCTGTGGATTTACTGTCCATTGTGAGGAAGCTCTCAGTACTACTGCCATGCTATATCTGGCTTGCAGATAAACACTGGCCTAGATGCCTAATTCCCATTTATTTCAAATCCTACTGGGTGCTTATTTTTAGGTGCCTATATAGCTCTAAAAATCTGTCCCGAAGAGTCTAGAGTTATGTTTATTTAGCAGTAAAGCATGGCTGGCAGGGAACAATAAGATGCCAGCCCAAAAGAGACCTCACCATCTTCCACTAAAAGACACACAGCAACTCCGGACCAAAAAAACCCCTGTTCCGGCTGCAACCTCATTATTACTATTAATAGTAAGTGCTTGACAAGGTCCCTGCCCTTGATGTTATGGGATAAAAGACAAAAACAAATATGGGGCAACCAGTTTGAGGTTTTCTGTAGCAACTGGAAACACATCAATACCAGGTTTTGATAACTGAGCCGGCACACTCTATCTACTGAGGGACAAGGAGCTTCAATTTTAAACATCATCTCTGTAATTCAGAGTTAAATGAATGGTCACATGGCAGCAGATGGAGCTTCACCTTCAGCTGAAGTGGTAGATATCTTTGTTTTTAGAGCTGAAGCCCATTAATAATTCCAGGGTGCTTTGGCTGCTAACCAAAGGCCCAAATCTTCAACACTTGCAGTAAATAGCACTGACATGAGTGGGGGGTTGCAGGGGATCCGAGGGGCCCGGGGTCTTCGGGGGAGAGAGGAGGAAGCTGCTTGCAAGGGAGGTTGGTGGGGGAGCCCCTGGCTGCAGAGGGGAGCGGGGTCTGGGGACAGGGATTCCCCGCCCTAGCGGAGCAGCCACGGGGCGGAGGGTCTCAGGTTGCGGGGAGCCGCGAGCTGGGCCCCGCGGAAAGGGCGCGGGCGGGTGGCAGCGAGGCGGGGCCGGCGCGAGAGCTGGGCGGGGCCGGGCTCCAAAGGCCCGGCAGCCCCGATGTCCCGCCAGTAGAGCGGGATGGAGGGAAGCGGCGGCTGCAGGATCGAGCGGGACGCGGGGCAGAGGCCGTCCGCCTTCGACCTGCCCAAGGTGAGCGAGTGGGTCAGCACCGCCGGGCCGGGCAGCGAGCTCGGGAGCCGCGGCTCTGAGCCGGCTGCCTCCCCCCTGCTGCGGATGTTCCTGGGTCCGAGCCGGGGGCTGCGACCCTTCCCCGGGCGGGCGGCTCCGCGACGGGGCAGGCTCCCCTTACCCTGGCACGTGCCTGCCCCCCCCCCCCCCCGGCAGTGCGGGGGCCCTGCCTAGAGCCAGATTTGGGGCCACTACCCCCGCCGGGCGAGCCTCGAGCCCCAGCGGCTGGCGCGCGGGGCTGGCGGGCGGCGCGAGCCCACCCAGGTCTCCCGGGGACACGCGGAACGCGGGGGAGCCCCCCCCCAGCTGCAGCGCACGGGAAGGGCCATTGTGCGGAGTCGGGCTTGTATTTACCTTGGGTGACTTTGCCAGCCAGAATCGACCCATTATGCCGGTAAGTGTTTGTGTTCTGTTGCTTCCACTTTCTCTTGCTCATCCTGCTGACTTATTATTTTTACTGCGGTTAGCAGCACCCACATTGGGCTAGGCGCTGTCTATACATACAGGAAGACTTTGTCCGGTTCTTACCCTAAAGGGACTGTAGGAGGAAGCTTGGTCTGTGACAGCAGAACTGCAATACCTGTTGCTGCTGAGAGAGTCGCTGACACAGCACTAACACAGTGTAACTGCAAGGGTTTGTAGTTTCCAACTACAGCGGCACCAGTTGTTGATGCCTTTTGATAGCAGTGAGTGATGTTTGTGGGTAGCCAAAGCTTAGGAAAATAAGCAACATATAAAAAGATTGTTAATGCAAAAATAAACCATTAAAAAAACCAAGCACCAAGCATTAAATGAGCTAGAGATTGATGAAATCCTTTCACTGCAGTCACCAGAAAGTATATCCTAGCAGTACTGTCAGTATATAGAGTTGATAACAATACAAGCAGTGAAGTGAAAAGTATCTAGCAGCACAAGCTAGCCTATAAAGAAAATGATGTGAGGGGTAAGATTTTGAAGTTTAGCTCATGGTCTGTTGTATCCATCCATCCTGTCTCTCTCTCTCCCCCCACCCTTCTGTCCCCTCCCCACCATCCAAGACTGGAGGGCAAGGGATGGTTAGACTCACTCCAGACAACTAAAAATCACAAAATATTGATAAATTTTGCAATTTTACAACTAATTTCCATATTGGAAAAAGGTCTAAGAGACTGAGATTTAAACCTTCTGTTAATCTGAGCAAGCAGGAAAAGCAGACAAGAAAGATTACCTTCTAGGAATGACCTGGAAGATTATCTTTGTTGATTACCCAAGCTTATGATATACCCATTAAGCCTCCTAGTGAAATCAGTGCTGGAAAAAGGTGTCAAATTGATGGTCATGGAGTATGAAGTCCTGTTTATTGGCAGACCAGGGATACAGCATGGGCAGCAGCAGTGCAAGATCCCTCCAAGCTATCCTGCCATTGTAGCTCAATGCTGACCCAGAATTCCCCCATTAGGAGAAGAGGAGAGTTCAGTCTACATGATGCATGTGGTCCTTTGCCTCTTGGATGCTCCTGCTGCTACTGCCAACAAAGGGGGCAACTAGTGGTAGTATTTTTGGGCGGATACCTGTCTGCTTTGATCCGGACGGAGGCCACAAAATAACTGTTAGATGATACCTTTTAGTCACTATCAGTATGAGTTCCATCAGAGCTATTGATCTATAGATGAAATGCTGTATATATTATCAATTCCCTGAGTCATCCAGCCTCCCATCACCTTTATAATCACCATTTAAAACAAAGGATATTATAGAATGTTCTGCTTGCAGCACATTGAAAGAATAATTTACATTCTGTGTTAGATGAACATACACCAAAAAGTTTGCTTGGTCTTATTGAATTTAGATAAATACATCTTTTGTGTAAAGTGCAATATGTTTGAAATTAAACTGTTCAGAAATAAGCATAGGTTCTAAGCTGATCTCAGTGTGTCTCCTTTAATGAAAAACAAAGGTCACTACACACACATGTGCACACACCACTTTCCTTAATAGCTTATTATCTAAAACTTAGGCTTTCTGGAGGACCTCTAGCGGCGGAGTAGTCCATTGTTAGAAAAAATCAAACTGGGAGCTTATATTTTTATATTAGCTTCAGTGACAGTGTGCTGATAATCACGTTGATAGGATTTTGGGATATGTACTAAGGATGCAGTGGCTTTGGGTTATAGTGTGGTTTTTGTTTTCTTAGAACCCTCATTGTAACAGGCTTTCTGTTTCAGATTTTTTTTTTCCGTATGTTTTGTTCAGTTCTTTGCTGGTGAAGATATTCTGTCTGCCCAAAGACACCACACAGATCACAGCTGTAAAATGTACTCTGATATTTCACTTAGCCATTTGCAGTACAAATACATCTGAAGCAAGGTCATAGGTTTCACTTTACTTACACAAATCATGGTGTTCATTGTGTTTATACTTGGACAGAAAACATAAAGAAGGAGAGAGAGAGAAGAATAGAAAATAGATGCTTAGTTTCATATCCTTGGTCTCTTGCAGAGAACGTCACCAAAGAAGCCACCTCTTGGCTAGCTTCTGATCTCAGTTACTGTGGTGCAAACCTGGCATAAGTGATATCAGAATCTGGCTCTTTCTTTCCATGTTTGACTCACTTCAATCTTTCGTTTACTTTGGTTGCTGCTGGTAGGACAGAATTCAGCTTTCAACAGGAACTTCATCTAAGTGAGTGGCAGCTAATTCTCGGTCTATGGCTAGTTATCTCAACTAAAAGGAAGAAGAGAAGAGGAAGAAAGAGAGCGGATGTGAGACATCACATTATTGAGCCATCTTCCTGATTTTTCCACACAGTGGGAGGTTAAGTAAAAGATAAACATCTGCCAGCTCATTAAAATTTCATACAGCTGAAAATGCCTCTATTCTTTTTCAGTTCCTGAGAAATCATAGAAATGTAGGACTGGAAGGGAGCTCAAGAGGTCATCTAGTCCGGTCCCCTACCCTGAGGCAGGACCGAGTATATCTAGGCCACCCATGGCAGATGTTTATCTAGCATGCTCTTAAAAACCACCAATGATAGTGATTCAACAACTCCCTTGGAAGTCTATTCCAGTATTTAACTATCCTTATAGTTAGAAAGCTTTTCCTTATATCTACCCTAAATCTCCCTTGGTTCAGGTTAAACCGATTACTTCTTGTCCTACTTTCAGAGGACATGGAGGACAATAGGTCACTGATCTCTTTATAACCGCCCTTAACAGGTTTGAAGACTGTTATCAGGTACCCCCCTCCTCCTTCTTTTCTCAAGACTGAACATGCTTAGTTTTTTTTTAACCTTTCCTCATAAATCAGGCTTTCTAAATCTTTTATCATTTTTGTTGCTCTCCTGTGGACACTCTCTAATTTGTCCATGTCTTTCTTAAAATTGGTGTCCAAAACTGGACACGGTACTCCAACTGAGGCCTCACCAGTGCCGAATAGAGCAGGCCAATTACCTCCAATATTTTACATGTGATGCTCCTGGTAATACACCACAGAATTCTATTAGCCTTTTTTTGCAGCTGAATCACATTATATCTCGTATTCAATTTGTGATCCATTATAATCTCCAGATCCTTCTCAGCACCTGGTCAGTTGTTGTTCCCCATTTGATTTTTTCCTCCCTAAGTGTAGTGCTTTGCGCTTGCCTCTATCGAATTTCATCTTTTTGATTTCAGATCAGTTCTCCAATTTGTCAAGGTCATTTTGAATTCTAATCCTGCCTTCCAGTTTACTAGCAACCCCTGCCATCTTGGTGTCATCCTCAAATGTTATAAGCCTACTCTTCACTCTGTTATCCAAGTCATTAATAAAAATGTTGAATAGTACCAGACCTAATACAGACCCCTGCAGGAACTACTTTTTGAGTACTGTTTTTCAATCAGTTGTGCACCCATATTACAGTAATTTCCTCTAGACCACATTTCCCTAGTTTGTTGATGAGAGTAACGTGGGACTATATCAAAAGCCTTACTAAAATCAAGATATCACATCTGCTGCTTCCTCCCATCCACTAGGCCCGTAATCCTGTGAAAGAAGGAAATTAGATTGGTCTGGCATGATTTGTTTTTGATAAATCCATGGTGGTCATTATTTATCATCCCATTATCCTCTAGATGCTTACAAGGTTCGTGTTCTTTCATTCTGAGTTTTTTCTCCTCTTAGCTTGAGCTGACATCAGAAAAGTACAGCTACTTATAAAAGTCTGTACACAGGTATTCTTATGCATGTTTTATTCCAGTAATGTGTGTGCCATCTCCAGTGGGAGATGCCTCTTTACAGCCATGCCGTCAAACCCCAGCCGTCCTTGGATGTTAGGGACCAAATCCTACTTAGAGTTACAGTGATGGCACTCCAGAGAATCAGTGACATTTCATCAGTGGCATTAAAAGCAGAAATTGACCCACAGTGATTACTTCAATTTTTTGCCATCTGAAGCATAAATGACAGCTTCTCTTGTTTATGCATCTCACTGACTGTTAAATCAGTGGAGTAGCAGGAGATAGTAAAGATAAGATATGATCCAGGAACAAAAATGCTGTGCAATTTGGAATCTGATAGGTAGCCAAGTCATGCTTTGCATAACTTTTCCAGATCCTAAATCAGTTAGTGAACCCAGATTGCCTCTGCTCAGTTGTGGCACAGACCGTGTAGCATTGCAGTTGAGTTATCATCACCTAATAAATCCAAGGCACTTCTGATGTAGGGCAGGTGTTACTCTGAACCCTCCAAGGTTCAATGTGTGTGATGGGCCTTTTTTTAATGGTGACAGACACCCAGCACGAAGTAACAGAGTAGAGATGAGAAAGCAGTATGTGGCGTCTGTCTCATCAACAGCATTTTCTGTAACCTTCCTGTCAAGAGCTCACATTTCTAATACTGATGATTTTAACAACCCCTGACAGGCAGCTTTCTTCTAGCGACTACATCTAGATGCCATTTCCACAGCAATTTCACCACTGTCTTGATATTAAATAGTTTTGGGTGAG